CTCTCCCTCTCCCTCCCCCTCCCTCTCCCTCTCTCTCCCCGGGGTCTCTCAGTGAACTTGGAGCTCATTTGTAGCTTTGGCAACCAAGCTCTGGATATCATCTCTGCTTCCTTAGTTTGGGGACTATAAGCATATACACCTTAACCAGGTTTTTATCTGGGTGTTGGGGATTGAACTCAGACCCTCTGGCTTGTATGGCATGCACTTTACCTACTGAATCAGCTCCCCAGATTTCTCTCCATTTGCACCTTCTTGAGATTTTATTATGATGAAAATATACAATATTTGTAATTCTCTTGGCTTCCATTGAGGACACAGGACTAGTGACCCTTAACCAGATGACTGTATGAGTGTTAGTCTTAATAGAGCTTTGTCATCTGAACATGCTTGTTGGAAACTAACTCAAAACAGAAAACACTTGATGGAGAATCTGAGTACAGATTCATACAGACAATGGGTAACTTGGAGCACCTTTCTCCACTTGAATGAGGAATGAGTTTCTGATGATTGACTCTTCCCTAGTTGTGATTGACAGTCATAGGAATCTCTAAATCCTTGCTCTCTGGCTCTTCTTCTCCCCAGTCTGTTCAGACACCTTCCTTCTCCTAGGAAAGAACAAAAGGTATTGGACAGGATACAATGCCTGTGATTCTGTTATGCTAGCTTAAGCCAGTTTATTATCATGGATTCCACCGAGGCTTGATTATATTCCAGCTTCAGCCATTTTATTAACAGTGGCTCTAGATGTGTTGATTCAATCACACATTAGTAAGACAGTATCCCTGGGACCTTAATTAAACCTGGCTCTTCCTAAATTTCTACGGCCTCCCCCCACCCATTCTTACCCTTAGAAGGATCACTTTCTGCTCTAGTGTAATTGAAACAGTAAAAGCCCTAGGCTTTAGTTTATTAGAATGATCACCATGAAGAGAATGGAAGGATCGAGGCTGTTATAGGAAAGATAGGTGTGAATTAAAACATCCCCCTGTGTTTGTTATAAGTGATTGAACTTGAGCCACGTTTGTTTATAAGAGAAGTGTAGTTTGTTAACATAATCAGCAAGAAGCCATTGCTCACACTACTCAGGAACAAACCTGGGACTGAGCTGTATCTCAATCAATCACATATATTCTTTGATTTTTAGAAAAATGTGTCCACTGTGTTATTATAACCATCTGTAATCAAATATGCTATGTAAAACAAAGACTAATTTCTGTAATCATTTACTTGCTTACCTAATGAAAAGCATCACGTTGTGTTTTGTAGAGTAATTACCTGTGGCTGAGACAGGGTAGGCATGATTTCTTTCTGGAATGTTGATGGAAAGGGAATTAAGTCTTCACAGGCTAGTGGGCCAAGAAGATTTTCTGATGAGAATATTGTTCCCAAGTGCTATACTGTTATATTCATCTGGATTTTGTAAGCACCTAAACAATAAGGACAAAAGCATAATGTACATTCCCCTGTGCACAGCAACACATTAGGATACATTATTTTAATTCTGATCAACAAGGCTTTTCTTTGTAATGCCTAGAAGAACTCAGCCATCTTGGAGGAGTGGAAGTGTTGATAGATAAGAGCAAGTGGTGATTTCAGAACCTCCAAGTGAACTGAGAGTCTATGAGTAGCCAAGGAAAAAGACTGTATGTGGGAGCCATGAGAACACAGAGGACCCTCCGAAAGTCAGAGAAGATGGAAACCACATTGGCTGTGTCATTCTGTCTGGGTCCCCCATCACATATGTGGAACTGAGTATAGTCTGCAGGGGCAGTTTTGGTGTTTTGTTTATTTATTGTGCTTAGTCTTGGGAAATAATATTTTTCTTTGTATGATACAATCCCTTAAATGTCTACCTAAGTTTTCTAGGCCTGAAGGAGAATTTTTTTTTTCTCAGATCCAGGGCAAGATGAACCATTGGCTGTACTTATCCATCCTTTATGTTTAAGCTTCTGTTTTACCTCTCTTTCTCTTTTCCTGCTTGTAAAGGCACATCCCCAGCTCTAGAGTCCTGCTTACTTTACAACAGTCTCTCTAGCAGAGGACATGGCAATAGATCTTGTGCTCAGTGCAGACAGAGATGCTTTTATGCCTGAAAGAAAGAAAGGAAAAAAAAAAGCACAAGCTATTTTTCAGAAATTGGTTTTTAATGGTGTGTGTTCTAGTGAGACACAAACCTGAAGCTAACGTGGCAGTTATTAGGTCCTATAACTCAGCTTAACTCACAGTCCTGAAATCTATTCGGCTCATAAGGGAATTCCCTGTAGACCATATAGGCAAGAAGATATCTGTTTTGTAAGGTTGTCTCCCTCTGGACAATTGACACTGTCAACTTGATGGCACAAGGTGAGAAACTGGACCTACTTCAAAGGGACCAGTCACAGATAAAAAGGAGATCAAACTTTCAGAGACAATTTAAAGATATCTGCAAAAGATGTGTGTGTGTGTGTGTGTGTGTGTGTGTGTATGTATGTATGTATGTATGTATGTATGTTCTTCACACTCACACCTTAAAGAGCAAAGAGGGCACTTTCCCCCTCATACCCAGTGAATGAAACTCATTCCAGGACCAAGGGATCCAACTGTGAAACGCTATTTGAAAAACAGTACCAGTAAATGAAAGCATGCTTTCTTCTTACAATTTGAATCAGTTCCTGATGTTTTCTCTTTTAATAAGGTCAAAAAGGAAAGGTGTGTGGAGAAGATTGTGAAGGAAAAACATTGCAATAAACAAATTCCATTTTGCCTTCTGCTAATTTGATGTGCCACCAAATGAGGTTATGTGTGCACCCAATAAATATTTAGAAATACTCTTCTAGAGTTAGGTAAGAGAGAAGGTTTCCAAGAGATGTTTACGTTGCATATCAGTAAGGAATTAATGATTTCCTTTCTGAATAAACACCAACAATATGCAACTATTAGAAAGTCATCTAGTATATCTAAAGTGATACTTGTCATGGAGATCAGTTTGGAAGTTTCAGATGTTTTGTTGGGTTTGCTGCTGTTGGCTTTCCCATCCATTGGGCAAGGACGGTTGACAATGGACTTATGGCTTTCTTCACTAAAAGGTAAAATTTCCTCTAAAAGCATAACATCTCTTTCCAAGACTAGACTCCAAAATATTAAGCCAATAAGAGACAACTGATTCTGCTCATTGTTGTCAGCTACAAGGAAAATAGGGATTTGTTTGCTTTAAAGGCCACTCAAGTTCGAAATGCTTTAAATCTCTTCTTGAAATATTCAGTTTTACATTGATCATGCTATCTGAACTTGAGTTTCACATTTTCTAAAACAGTAGTACAACAACAAAATATTTATTCTGAGGGGGAATGATACAGATTTCCTATATTGCTGGTTTCTCTGGATTTGATAGTTAATAAGTTTTTTCTTTCCTCACACATAAAACATTAATAAGATTAGCTTCTATTATCCTATAAGCATTCATTAACCTTGGCATTTTTTAGTAATACCTTTAAGAACTTAAGGAACAGGTGTTTTTTATTACTTTCTTCTATGAAGTCTAGTAGTCTTTTAATGTATGCATAATCAGTGAAAATGGTTTATCAAAAATAATAAGTAAAATTTTGGTTCCTTTGGCAGAAATCATTCAACCCTGGCTCCATGGTACAATCATATCCAATTTTCTTTAAACCGCATAGTGAACTAGCCAATATGATTGAAGTTAAACTCCACTATCTCTGAGATTTTGTACTGATTTTTAATATTGCTGGTAAACAATTATGGTTAATAATATTATGCTTGTTCCCAGCAAATGAGACAAGTCATACTCTTTCTGATTTTTATTTGGTTTTGACAGACTATGAATTGAATCAGGAGCCTTGGGTATGCTAGACATATATACCACTGAGATACACATGGCCCTTGACTACTTCAAAAACTGATGTGTAGAAATTGAGTATCAGAGAAGGGCACCACAGACCTTGACATCCAGTTTAAGTTAGAGCTTGCACTTCTTGTTGTTGTTGTTGTTGTTGTTATTGTGGTAGTTAGAGGATCTGGAAAACATTATTTTTTTTTAATTTTAGAGTCTCCAGAATGAGCTTATTTTTTTCTTATTAATTTACATATTGTTATGGCACATGTACTTTGTAAATTTTTATGATGACATCTGCCCCACCCTAGTTTTCTTCATCACACACTCACATCTGGGTGCCCTGGAATTATTCATGTGATCTCAGACTTGTCAGCCATGATCTCACCAGAAAGCAGTTGACTGAAGAGCAGATGAGGGTCAAAAAGACTAGGAACCCTGGTGTTACGACAAATTACTCTAAAAAATAATGTGTAGACAACAAGCCATGTGAGCATGGCAGATGAGCAAGAAGGTAATAGTGTCCTGTTGACCTTGGTTTTGAGTAAATTGCTTAAATACTTAGCTGATCCCATGTCGGATGTGTGAGACTAAACTAAGTGCCAATTTGTACGCAGAATTGGTTGGTTTTGGAATTGCGTGCCAAATGATGCCAACAGCTCTGTAAGTGAGTTCCAGATATCATCCACAGATGCTTGGTTAGTTTTCTATGTTAGAGTGTCCTGGAAGAACGACTAACAAACCCCTTCTTCAGATAAAAAGTACTTTATTCAAATTGTTTTTGACGTGGTTACTTCAGTTCTCATGCTGTAATGGTTTATTACTTTTTATTTTTTGAGAGTATACTAAAATGACATCATATATACCCCTGCCACCAAGCCTTTTTCATATATATCTCCCTGCTCTCTTTCAAATTAATTTCCTCTTTTCCATTGTTGTTGATTTTCTGGACAGAATAAGGACATGGACACAAGTTTTCTTTCTTTTATTCTTTAGCAAATAATAGAAATACAAATAAAAACATTCAATATCTTTAAAAATGAACAGATTTTAAAACATGGAGAGGGGCTTTATTGTTAGTGTAGCCATAGTCAAGATCAAGTTAGAAATAGGTGTTCTCTGCTCTCAGCCTGGGAAATGTTGAAGGTGATATAAGGAGTCTGAGCACGAGCCCATTTTGTTTTATTTGGCCGTGCCAATAAGATTGTGAGAATCTGAGATAATGAAGGGTTATGTGAAGGAAAGCTTCAACTTATTGTCATGTGGAAACATGTTTTAAGTAATTGAATCTCACACTGCTCAAAAAGACCACTTGGGAAGAGGATTGATGTGCTAAAAAGAAGTCAACTAAAGCTTCAATCTGTGGATCACATCAGTGGACCTCCAGCCCTGGCACAGATCTGCTGCAGTAGATGATTAAAGTAGCCAGCTCATATGAAGAAACCAATAGCAACAATAAGACCAAACAAATGAAAACTTTGCTCGTCTCCCCTGGATCTTTGAGTAGCTTTTTGAAGTCTGTGTCATTTTTAGCTTTGGATGCCTTTGTTTTTTTTGGATGCCTTTATTACTATGGCTTTTTCTTAGAACTAAAATATATATTTATGGAAAATGATGATATTCTCATAAATTACTGGCTCTAGGCATCATAATATATACTAAAGGAAGTGTTGAAGAGGCTGGAAAGCAACACGCAAACATTTTATAGAGATTTTTTTCCCTTTCTATTTCAATGCATTTATTTGGAAAATGTTTATTTGCCTGAATGTGCCCTGCCAGCAAAATTTTATACATGACAGCTAGTTTTTATTGTTGGTGCACATCATGAATAACAACTTTATTTGATGGCAAATGAGATGCCCCAAGTTGCAAGCTTTCTATAAACATATCTGAATTGTTCAATTCTGTTCTCATTGTATAATTTCCGCCCTGGCCCCTTGCCTGCTGATATTCAGATAAAGACTTCATTCAAATCATTTTCAAAACTGTCCTGGGTTGCCGACTATCCTAAGTGGTCAGATTGTTCACTGTGTATTAGCTATCACACACGTGCCTCGCAGGTTTTCATCAGATATTGCCAGCAGCATTTCTTTGTAATGAGTGGTAAAGGAAATAACAAAGAAATGCCTCCAGTGGGATTTCCAAACCTTTGCAGATTATTAGCAATAGAATTAGCCATATGATTATATAGACTTACCTCTCTGAATATACAAGTGAATCATTTTGTTTCTTTTTCTTCTCTGCTCTTTTTCATGCCTCCTCACATGGATTGGGAAATGATGATTGCTGCTTGATTCCTAATGACTTGGCCCTTGGTTTCTCCTTCAGGTAAGTGTTTCTCATTCTTCCATATTCTTAAACATCCATGGTTGTAGTTTACAATCATTTCTTGGTGTTAATTTATCTTCTTGAGTGTTCTTGCAAAATGAGGTAAAAATTAAGTATAGGAAGACAGATGCATGCCTGAGGTGCTTTAACAATAATGGGCATAGGGCATGGATTAACATGAATATTCAGTGGTATTGCTGTTTATAGGATCCACATGTTGGAAATTCAGATGAAACCTGCTTTGTTGCCTAGTCTTTTGAAAATACTCTCTTAGATCTCTTCCAGAAATAAATTCCTAATCATAATCTTGCTTATTTAGATATAAAAATGTAGACTTTCCAGCAGATGGTGACAGTATGGCCACCAGGCCATAGCTAACAATTTTGGCAATCCCAATGGTATATATGTTAAAACAGAATTCCAGCCTTAGAGTCGAGGGTGTTGTTCATTATAGAGGTAAAATTAGAAAACTACAGTTTGGAGGCCAAATCTGGCCCGCTCTGAATTATAGACTGTATTTTACATGTCTTGGTGCTTGACAAATATAAAAGGAATTATGCTTTGCAATGGAATCATATGCAAACTTTAAATGTTAATGTCTGGAACTCAGATTTTGTTGTAACAGCATCATGTTTGGTCCTTTTACATTGTTTGTGGCTACTTTCATGTGGTAATCATTAGGCCCCCAAATCCTCTGGTATCTGTGTTCTGACCCATTTGGCAATAAATCTGCTGGGACTACTTTGAGTGCTAGGATGTAGGAGGTTAATTGCTAAAAACTACTCACTTTATATCTACTGATAAGAACAGCAGTGAGATCATCATACACCTGGCCTCTTCCACAAGGTCATATAGGACCCTACCATTTCAAAAATGACCATATCAAGTCACATGAAAGAGCAAATCTTGATGTCAGATTTAAATGTTCCTGGAACATTCTTTTACATAGCTGTATTTCTCATATCACTTTATAACTTAGTATTCAACCCATTGAATCTAATTAATTTTATCCTGATCTGTTTCTGAGTTTGTCTATGCACATTCAAAATCAAGTGGCTTATGGGAACTAGGGAAGTGGCATTTAGTGGCTGGTGGAATTGCAATTGTAATGAAAAGCGTTTCCTTAAATTCTTATAAAACTCTTGAGGTTCTGTATAACATAAGAAAATAGGAAAATCCTGTAGATAGTGGCTATTCTGAATTGCATACAAATCTACACATAAAAGTTCGATGCTGAATATTGTTACCTAGTTTAGTACCTCTAATCCCCCAAGTAAGCAAGGTTGTGCTTTATGATATTGATTTTGCAGAATTTTCAGGAGCCAACATGAAATTGGGGTGATTCTATGCACTTTAATTAAGAAAATCAAACTTAACTACAGACACATTTTCTATTTTTTTCTGCATCTACATTTTCCAGAAATGGATACATTCTCAATTGGGGTTAGAAAGAGAGAGAGAGAGAGAGAGAGAGAGAGAGAGAGAGAGAGAACAAAGAAAGTGTATTCTTGGAATATTGCAGGAGACAGCAATGTAGAAATGACTGGTTATTAAGAATATGCATTATCCTCTAGGTTTAGACCACTGGGAAATAAAGCTTCCTCGCCTGCACTTGATATATGATGACAGGCACAAAGAAAAAGGCAAACATACCATGGATCTTCTAGCCTCGTACATTTATACTGTATGTTTTCTAAGCATTTTCATGAAAATTTGACATTACAGCACCTCAGACAGAAACAGCAGCAGTCACCAGGGAAGGAACAGCTGGATATTTTATTAGGTTTTATGTTGTACATACGGAGCCCATGTTTGCCATTGTCAGTGTGTAAAAGGATATGAAAGCTCCAAGCATCATTCAAGTCTCGGATGCCTAGGAAGTGTCAGCGCCATTCTCTCAACACCTGGATGGATAGCTCACTGTGAGGTCACTGAGAGCAGAATGCCTGCTCTGCTTGGAATCTGGCAGTTCAATTTCAAAATAAAATGGCCCTTAATTGTTGTAGGGATGGTGATTCTTTGTTATGATACAGTTGCATGGGTGGATATAGACGTGTGTGTGTGTGTGTGTGTGTGTGTGTGTGTGTGTGTGTGTGTGTCCTGTAATATTGCAGCTCTCTATCTTTTCTCCTGTGCCTTAGGTGGCACTAAAGAGGTGCCCACTTGACTAAGTCCAAGAAAGCTATGCATTTCCTGGCTCTTACAGTGTCACACTTCTCTAAGAATTGCATTTGTTTTGTGTGTATAGGTGAGTGTGAAGGGCAGGGGGAGTTAGCGACACATGCAGGTATGGAAGTCAGAGGACAATTGGCTGGAGTTGCTTCTCTATTTCCACCAGGTGGATCCTCAGGTTTGAATGCTGGTCGTCAGGCTTGACACCCTTGATACCCATCACCAGGCCTGTTGTCCCGTTCATAACACACATGAAGGCTACCTGTTTACCCTCTTTGATGAACCATTTTTATGTAACATTTCTCACATACATTTTCAAATTGGAATAGTCATTTTGTTCCTCTTTGTAGTCCAATCTAGTGTAGATCTTATACTCCACCAAATCCCATCACTGTCTCTCCATTGTTAGTGCCTTTAAAGTGCCCGATTAGTATCCTCTGACTGCCTTAACAAAATGGCTAGATTGTGTAGCAATGGAAATTCATATTCTCTCTGTTCTGAATGACAGATGTCTGAGATATAGTATTATGATATCTTCACAATTTGGTTCTTTTCTTTTCTCTGTTGTTGTTGTTGAGAAAATGATTTGCTATGTAAAAATGGCTATCCTTCAGAATCAAGGCCCACTGTGTCTGTCTCCAGAATTCTGGGATGGTAGATGTGTACCATACCCCTCTATTCTGGGTTCTTATTAAGTTATTATTTAATTATTTTTCATGTAATCTATTTTGATCACATTTTCCCCTCTCCATCTCCTCAATGGACCTCCTCACCTCCCTCTCTATCCAACTTACGATCTCTTTCTCTCTCTCTATCAAATCTAAACTAAAACCAAAATTAAAATTAAAGCAAGCAAACAAATGGCCAATAAGACAAACAATGAGCTGGGCAGTGGTGGCACACGCCTTTAATCCCAATACTTGGGAAGCAGAGGCAGGGGGATCTCTGTGAGTTCCAGACTACCCTGGTCTACAAAGCAAGTTCCAGGAAAGGCGCAAAGCTACACAGAGAAACACTGTCTCGAAAAACCATGAAAAAAAAAGGTACACACACAAAACAAAACAAAATGAACATGGAGTTTATTTTGTGCTGGCCAACTACTCCTGGACATGGGGCCCATGTGCTTGATATACTAATATTGTGTTGGAAAAATCTGACTTCCCCTTTGTAAGCCAGCATGAATTGGAAATAGCTCCTTGGTTAGGGGTGGGACTGTAACTTCCACTTCTCTGTCTCATTGGTGGGACCCCAACAGGCTTGAACCTATCAGGTCTTGTGTGTGCTGTCTGTCTCTGTGAGTTCATATATGCTCCAGTCCTGTTGTTTCTGGAAGATGTTGTTTTCTAGAAGTTATCTGCCACCGCTGGCTCTTAGAGTCTGCCCTCTTCCTCTTCCACATAGATCCCTGAGCCCTGCCTGAGGGAGGGAGTTGATGAAAACATCCCATTTAGGACTGTGTGCTCCCAAGTCTCTCACTCTCTGCACATTTTTCAGTTGTGGGTCTCTGGGTTAATTTCCACTGCTGCAAGAAGTAGATTTAGGCTGACACATGGCTTTTTTTCTCTGTGTGTGTCTTGCAATGACAGAGACAGACAGATTGAGAGACAGAGAGGTGTGTATGAAAGAGAAAGAATAAGAGAGTCTACTCTTATGGCCACTATATTATTGAATATGGGCTATACCTTTATGACTTTAATCTTGACTACCAACTACAGGTCCTATCTCTAGGTATGGTTACACTGTAGGCTAAGGTGTTAACATATGAATTTGGAAACAAAAACAAAAAACAGGGTTGAGTCCCTAGTACCTTTTCATAAAAATTGAATTGTGATAGGTGAGCAAAACAGATGCACGTTATCCTCACATGGAGCTGTCAATAGTCTCTGAAGGCTTGGATACCTGTATCGTTTTGCATGGATTAGAGCTTTGTCATATGTGTGTACTAAATCTAGATAATTATGGAGTGGCTTCAAATATCAGAAAGTGGCCTGTGTTTCAGTTCTAGTCCCTTCTTTTAAAGATAATCTTAAAATCCTAATATATTATTTTGAACACTCATTACAGTAATCATTTATGAATCTGCTCAACTATACTTCACAATAATAAAGTACCCAGCCTTATACAGAACCTGAGACACACTGGACCTAAGTCACAATCAGAAAACATTCTAGTCTGTATGGGTTCATAATCAGAGAAAAAGATGGGTTCACAGTGCATAACAAGGTTTGCATTGAATTAAAGATAAAGAACTGTCTACAGTTGTTTTTAAATTATGGCATTTTCAATGGTGGGTAACATGCGGTTGTGAGACAGAGTTTGTCAGGATAAAGGAGAATCAATTCCAGGCAAGGGGTATATTAGAAAGTAAACACAAGGGTGAGTAAGTCTAAAAACTATATCTGATGGGGAAAAATGAAAAAAATATATTTGAGTTTTGTATTTTTACTTGTTTTTGTTGAGCTCTTGGAATGAGTCAGGTTCTAAGTTTTATAGATAGGTAAATAGAAATAAAATCACTGTTCTTAAGCTGACATTCTTAGGCTGAGAATAGAGTTAATTAACAGTTAAGTAAATATATTACCTAACTCTTAGAATGTAAAAAGTATATTAAATATAATATTTAATTAATTATAAATATAATATCTGCCATGAGATAGCAGAGTAAGAAATGGTGTCCATTCTTTAGTGACTACAGAGGTCACCCTAGAAGGTGATATTGAGTTAAAATTGTGTTACAGGAACCAGTTAGGAAAAGCTCCAAGTGAGAGGAACATTTTCCTTAGTGTATCAGAAATCATTTTTTTAAAGTGATGAAATTAGAAATGGACTTTGTTTTAGAACATGCATTTAAAAGTTGAGAGACTCGCCGGGCGGTGGTGGCGCACGCCTTTAATCCCAGCACTCGGGAGGCAGAGGC